AAAAAAAAAAAAAAAAAAAAAAATTAAATCATTTTATTGTGATCAGCAACTGAAAATATTAAAGATTGAACAAAGCTCTTCCTTCTGGAAAGCAGATCTGAAATGTCTCTCAACGTTTAAATGACATTTTGCTGAGACCTGAAATGTCTCCTGGCTGAGATTCGATCTCTTGGATGAGATTTACAGTTTTGCCTGGCTTAGGATGTATGTCAATGGGAAGACTTCCAATTAATTTGACAAACCTTTAGATCAGATTGTGTGATTCAGCCTTAAATATTACAAGCAAAACACCTTTAACAGCTCAGTATCTTTTGAATTAGGATTTATTTAGTCTAGAGAAGTGAAAACTTAATGGAAAAAACATCAATCTTCAACTAGATAAACACACTTAAAGAGAAAGGGGAGAAAATTACTCCCATGGCCAGGAGGGACAGGGCAAGAGCTAATGGGCTTGACCAGCAGCAGTGAAAATTGAGGATAGACATTGTGAAAAGCCTTTTTTTCAGCAGTGGTGCTAATTTCAGTAGTGAGTCTCATTAAGCATGAGAAGAGGTTGCTTAGGCAAATTAGGGAAGAGTCCGTTGGGAAGCTGTTGGGCTGAGGTTGTGGTGCTGAGGGTGCGGGGGGAAGCTCCAGCTGATGTGATTTTGATGTTGTGGGTGAGCAGTAGTGCCCGTGGCCGAGGAGGAGGTGGCACAGGGGTGGCTGGCAGTTAGGATGGAGACAGCAGCAGTGACCTAGCAGCTCTGTGGAAAATGGGCTGCGGCGTTCATGGGGACAAGTGCTGCCACGTGGAGAGAAGAGACCAGGGTGAAATGCTAAGGCTTGGACAACAGACCCAAGCCAGTGTTGACCTATAGATGAATCCTGTATATTTTATAACTGATAACCACCGTGCTAGTAGGGACTGTACTAAGTTATAACAACCCACTTACGCTGATGTAAAAAGTGCTAAAGCATTAAAATACTGCAGCCTGAACAACGGGCCTGGCCAGGCTTTGGGTGGAATCCAACAGGAGAATGAAACCAGAAATTTTCCACTCAAAACAAAGGTGCCAGCTATTCTGGCTTGTCGATCAGTCACCGGACCCACTCACAGCGACTTTGGCAGCCTCACCTACGGGTGGACGCACCGCGTAGGATTTCCCACTTGCCGGGACGGGCTCTGCACATCCTCGCTGTAACTGGGGCTGCCCTATATCTGCGGATCTGGATGATGGTAATGTATGCAAGTGGTGATGGATCTTTCTTAATCACTATTCTCTCTCGTGTAGTAATGATTTGATGCATTACCCTGTATTCTCCTGTTTGTTGCTTTAGGTGCACTATTCTGCCTTTTCTTACTGCATGTCTTCTGTATCCAGTAAAATACACCTACTCTTTTCACTCTGGTGTCTGAGTTTAATTGGCATCCTTAATCAGCAAAACACAGGGTTACAGCAGAGATCTCAGGAGCAGGAGGCGTGTGTCATGAGGAGATAACAGACATGGAAGAAGAGCAAAAGAGCAACGGTAGTTACACTGAAATAGTTGGGGAACTTGTAGACCTCTCAGGGCGCAATGATTTCTGTGCTCTATTGATTCTCAGCTTTGCAAATGTGTCTAACATCAATGAGGAACCAAGGAGTCTTTCCAAGCCTTCCCTGTGAGGGTCGGACTTTTGTTTTACCTTTGCTGGTAGATTTTATTTTATTTTATACCCACCCTTTACAGTTTAATCTCTTAAAATGCCTTGCTGTAGCCACATACACAGAATGCACAGAGGTGTGCCCAACACTCATACAAAACAGAGGTACTTTACAACAAGGAGTGTTTCAAAATACAACTGATGGGCAGAAAGTCAAATACTGGAGGAAAAGCTTTCTCGCCAAGAACATGGAGAAACACACTGGCTGTAGAGGGCTGTTATTCCTCACTGGCATGTAGGGGAAGCTCCTCACCTTTGGCGATGCTGTGGGAACAGCAGTTGGACGTGCTAGAGTGGGAAAGGATGCTCTGGACTTGGACAGCCATCTGCTCTGGAGGGAACACAGGGGCTGGGGAAATGTAGATAGACAGGTCCTTACAAGTCCCCTGAACTATGTGGGTCATTTTGCTTTTGTGTGTGACACACAGGAGAAAGTAATGGAATACAAAAGAAAAGGCATTTCTGAATCAAGAGTCAGCAATCCGGCTTCCCGGGGCCAAGTATTTTCTGTAAATATGTACGTGCAGAAGGAAGAAGATTTAGCTCATTCCTTTTGAAGTCTACAGTAAGATATTTACAAATTCAGAAATTCCCTACGTAGTATTTCAGAAGCAGGGGCTCAGTTTGTCGCCTGGCAAATTTTTAATCCAACAGACCATGCTCTTCAACACAGTAAAACATTTGTTTGTATTTTAATCAGAGACATGAATTTGAAAGTAAAAATAGAATTATTGCTTTGTAAACATTCCTTCCTTTGATTTTAAATTACACTGCTCACATAACAGATTACTTCAGCCTGGAGATCTCGGCATTTTATAAATAAGCACAGTTTCAAAGAGAAATTTAGCATTAAAAGCCATGCTCAAAATAATTAGAATATTGTATAGCCACAATTCCAGATGCCATGGTAAGATCAATTTTTACATTTCCTTTCCAGTCATGACCTATTACTTCTCCCCAGATCAAATCTTCCTCCCTTATAATAAAGCTTGAAATATTTATCCATACCTCACTCATATTTTCTGTCCAGCTCACAACATTTCGAGGCATTAGATAAATGGTCTTAGGAGGGTGTGAGAAGAGAGTTAAAGAGGGGGAAAATGAGAAAATGGTTGTATCAAACAACCTGTGACATGAATGTGGAAAGTGTTTTTTAATCATTTAAGAGATGATAGGATTACAAAGTTATTCTAAAGCATTGTAACAGGCTAGAACTGATTGAAGATATCACAGCTTCTTACAAATGGCACATATGTGACTGTCGTCGGTGAGGTATTTTGGTCACTCATCATATGTGGCATTTGCTCTGCAGTCACTAGCAGACGGTGCTGACCTTTGATCTCACATTATCCCATGCGAAAGTATTTTCTTCGGTGCAAGTCTCGCAAGAAAACCAGCAAGAACAAAAACAACCACTGCCAGGATGGCGACAGCAGCCACGAATGGTGCGAGGGGATTGTCAGCAGCAGTGGAAGCCACCTGGGGAGGAGGCACAGAAGGGTCCAGCCCTGCGAGTGAAGGCAAGGGGGGGTTGGTCTCAGTGTATTAAAAGATAACGGCACAAAGAGCTGCTGCATTAAAAGGGGTGGTTCCCAGAGCAGAGTAGAAGTAAACAAACTTCTTAGAGAGTCATTGCTTTAAACTACATGACCAGGCTTTATAGCAGCAGGGATGACAACCTAACTATGCAAACTTCATAAGCAGAAGACAGCTGAGGGAAGGAAATGTTTCTCAAGAAGGTTGGGAGCTTGCTCCTAGTTGGCCATCACCTTACACAGGCAGACTGGGCCTAATTAGTTCAATTAGTAATTAGCAACCCACACTAAAATGGGTTACACGCTACCTGTCCCTTGGGACAGCCAAAGCAGTTGTATTTTTTTGCAGGTGAACGCAGGGAGCGTGCAAGGTGTTGAAAGAAGAAGAGATCTGTATAAATCCGGGTCAGCCAAACAATCCCTACCTTTTTATAGTGAAGTTAGCAAAAGCAGATTTCAGTGACAGAAGTCAGAAGCGCAGAGCTGTGGCTTTTTTTGAAGCCTGGAGTAGTCTTAGGGTCAATATGAGAGAAATTTATTTGACTTTACCAGTATTCCTACTCCGAGCACCCCCTCCTCGAAGCTGAAGTGGTCCGACAACCACATTCACTTTTTCCTCGGCAGAACTTGCATCTCTCTTGGACCGGGTAACGCAGCCCCGGTAGCAGCGGGAGGAGTAGTCCCCGAGCTGGCACACCACCAGCTCACACTGCAGGTAGACTAACGCGTGGCGGCTGATGAACTCGAAGGCATTAAAGCTGAACCGAGCAAAGTGGCTGTAGGGAGAGTAGTACGTGACATAGGAAGAATCTTTAACACATCTAGAAAAAGTAATAAAAAAGAGAATCAGTCTTCATGGATACACACATGTACAATCCTGCAAAAACACAATAGATTAAAAAAAAGATTATAGGCAACACAATTAAAACAAAATTATATTATAGACAGTGCTAAATACAATGGGATAAAAATGCAACTTTTATAGCATAGTATAGACTTAAAATATAGACTTATTTAAGTCCCCTGAAGCATCTAGAGCATTGGCAACTATTTTTTATCAAGAGGAAACTATAAGTGTATAATCTCTTAGTCTCTCTCTTACATATATAAGACTATAAGAAGAAGGGAGAACAGACTCTTACTAATGTCTGTGCTATACAAGGCACTAAAAAATGAGTCTAATGCTTAACCTGGCTTTACTAAAAAAGGACAGTAGATTCCTGCTGCCAGTTTTCACTATCTCATCTCATCTCATCTACCTCACTCCCACTACTTTGAATTTTGCATATCAGACAAGAATGAAGTACATGACATGAAATGATAGTAAGGTCTTAATGTCGTTTCTTATTTCCCAGTCATACAGTAAAAATAAAAAAACCCACAAATACCCCTTTTAACAGTCTGTTGATAATGAGATCTAAACCTATTCAAATTGACTCTATTATTTTAAATAAATGCAGAAAGGGTATTACAGCTATACTTCTAATGGCTTGAGAAAGCTCTTACCCATTCTTGATTATATCATAGGCCAGAGTATTAAAATCATGAGGATCAGGTGATGCCACGCATGTGTCCACAAACACCACCAAATTTGGGTCAGAGCTGTGAAGATAAGCCTGAAGGTACAAATTTTGGTTCAATTCAATGTAGTATGGAGAGTCGTGCACTGGCCGCAAGAACGATGAGGAATCATAAAAAGTGATGTTCAGGTCGTATCTTCCAAACTGATTTTCATTCACGTCTACAGTATCCTCAGCAACGTACATTATTTGCATCCAGGTGTTTTGTAGCATTTTGCAACTGATGTGTAAGTGAATATTCTTTTTCCTCTTGATTAAGTGCCCAGAAGATGTAACTTTGATCATGTTGGAATAGTTGACTGTATCATTGTTCTCCTGTTTAACACACAGTTTAAAACGAGGAATTACATTTTTGTCACGTACCATGTTCTAAGCTTTGATAGAGTAAAATGCAATTTTAAAATGTAGATCCATCTTAAACTCTTTAAATCAAGAAGCTTGATGTTGGTCTTTTCTGCTCACACATTGTAAATAAACTTGCTGAAGTATGTCATTAAACAGAAATCAGTGGAGAAAAACTGCTTGCTAAATCCAAGTCAGAGCTGACTCATTGAACATCTGTACTAAACCCCAATTGTGAGTACACAGTCATCCCAAACCTGCATTTACAAGACTTTGTCTACGTTAAACCACAAAAGTTCATATAACTTCCTCCCATGTTTTCCTCCCTAGAAGCTATTTTCTGTTAAGCATGGGGATTCCCTAAGGCATGGAAATCTAAAGCACCAAAAACCTCCCGGTCTTGTTGGTTGACTTCTTAGCACCACAGTGGCCCTTTCATGGCCCTTTCCAAAGTGGCTCCTGCAATTCAGTGTGCAAGCAGGGAACGTACCTCTCGTATCGTCCCACAGCCATTGTAGGGAATGTCGAATATCACTTCGTGCGACGTGACTGTTGGTTTACAGTAACTGTCGTTCAGGGTGACCATCTGCGCCGAGTAGCCTTGAGACTGGAGATAGTCTCTGCTAACCACTGCATGCATGTAGTCAGGCAAGCACAGAAGGGCTGGTAGAAGAAGAAGAAGAAAGAATATATTAGTGACTTCAGGAATTTGTTAATGATTAAAGTTTCTAACTGAACCAAATATTGATTATTTTTTTTTTCTTAATTTAGAAGATAGGTAGTTCACACACCAACCCATCTTATTTCACATACATCATCTCATTTCCCTAACATCTTTAAATATACTTTTTTTTTTTTTCATATAAAAGCAATAAACAGGCTTGTCCATTGACAAACATCGAGCAGGAACTTACTAGTGTTGTGATCTGCTGGAATGGAGGAGTAGTGAGCCTGAAACCCTCTGAAAGTGTATCTAGAATCGCTGTGAAAGCGAACGGTCATCATGTTTGAAGACGATATGTACGTGGGAAAGGAACCAGAACAAAGTCTCCCAAGAAGCGGGGAAGAGTGTGGAGGCCCATCATAGACTTCAACGTAGTCATACTGGCATCTGCTGCTTTGCATCCTGGTGAACAAACATCAGCACCTTGTCAAATGCATTTCAGAAACTCATTTAACTGCATAACACGTGATAAAATCTTTCAGCACTTAAAGTTTTCAGGGCAGAGGTATTATTCATTTTGTATCTAGCTGTAGCAGGAAATTTTGAGTAGAAAATACCAGTAAACCAGATTTTGTCCTTGTCTTCCAACTGCTGGATGTTATGGAAAGTATCTTCAAAACTAGGTAGGTTGTCTGTTTCAAATAAGTTTTCAAACTTCTCAGACAAGTTTTTTACTTTGTTATTTGCCCAGGGAATCAATGTTTTACTTACACAATATCTCTAAATGTGAGCATAACATGGAAATTGTTCTCTACTTGTATTTCCCACACGCAGTCAGCATTGTTTGGATAATTTCCAGGGTAGAAGGGACTCTGAAGCAACCCAGAGGAATTTGAGATTGAGCCACCACAAAAATAAGGTGCTGCAGAAAGAAATGGAAGACAATTTACTTATGATAACCTCTACAAAACTGTACATACAGCTGCTGGAAAGCAGGTCTCCCACTGACTGTAGGGGATATTCTGTATGACCCAAATCAAAACAAATATTTGTTTAATCTTTAGGTTTACTTTATTATTGGATTCAAGATTCCCTGTCACATCCATGGTGTCAGGCCACCCTCTTCAGGCCGGGCTGGTAACACTCTGATTTCTGCTCTGGTCTCTCCATTCTGCAACTGGAGTCTGATTCTGGGAGGTGTCATGACAGTCAAAATGGAAGTACCTCCCTGAACAGACAGCATCCCCTCAGTTACTCTGCTGCTTCTATTTATTCCCCTAAGGACTCTGGAGGATAAAAAGGTTGCAAGTCTTCTAGGAAACGCTGTAATTTTTGGTCTCAGACTGAAATAATCACTCCAGGCTGCTGGGCCAAGTCTTAAATATAGTTCATTTCTCCTATATGCATAGCATCAAAAAGCTTTCATGTCCCTGACAGCATGAATGACATATAACTCTTATATTAAACACACAGATAATCCTAAAATTTTCCTTATAGGAAGGTGAGCACAAACTCTGAACTTATATTCTACAAGATGTGACACATAAACCCAACACCCCCCATTTTATATTCCTGTACATGAACAACCCTCAGCGCAACACACTCCTCCCTGCCTCAGAATTTTGGGGTTCTCGGGCAATTCCAAACTTGGGAGCATCAACTGTACCCAGACACTGCACCTTCCTCTGATCAGACTGGATGGGCTATCAAGCACCTTCACTTTTGTACTGTTTTCTATTGTGAATGGTCAAGCTATAAATCTAAAATCTTTCGAAGTCAGAAATAGCAGGCTGAAGACCATAACTGCAGTAGTAAGCAGAAAAGACAAAAATTACACATGGAAATACTTGAACACCACCCTGCCAATACTGAAGTATGTGGTTAAAAGTTAGAGGTACAGACAACATTTCCTAAGCCTTGACCCAGTTGAATAGCCCAACAAGGAAACGGCTTGCCCACAGCCAGACAGCATAACTGCAAAATAAGCATCACTGAAAAGCAAGGGGATATCACAGTCTGTCTGAGATATATCATGCAAATTTAAAGTGACATTGCCATAGAATAGTCCTTCCAGTACTTAAAGAGGATCTACAGGAAAGATGGGGAGGGACTCTACCAGGGAGTGTAGGGATAGGATGAGGGGTAATGGCTTTAAAATGAAAGAGGAGAGATTTAGATTATCTATAAGAAGGATATTATTTCCTATGAGGGTGGTGAGGTACTGGAACAGCCTGACAGGAGAAGCTGTGGCTGCCCCCTCCCTGGAAGAGTTCAAGGACAGGTTGGACGGGGCTTTGGGCCACCTGGGCTAGTGGAAGGGTGTTGGGACTAGATGGTCTTTAAAGTCCATTCCAACCCAACCCATTCTATGCTTCTATGAAACAAAAATCAAATTAAACCCAGGCAAACAAGGAGACAGCCCACAGATTAAGAAGGCGAAAAGAGCCACAGAAGAGAATTACCTGAGGGAGGTGTCGGGGTGGCTGGAGGACCTGTGGGTGTGGAGAAAGAAGAGACACAAATGAGACATGTGGCTCAGGACAAATGTGCTGGGGCAGAGATATGAACTCACTGTGGGGAATAGGGTAACGTGGCAGGGATGGTGGTGAGGGGAGCATAGGGACACAGGGGACAAGGGACAGAGTGCCAGGAGCGTGATGGGAGACCTGAAACCACTGCTGCCCACGCACCTGCACAGATGACGCTGGCGTCCTCCACATGCCCGCAGTTGTGCACGCCCCAGCCCCTGTGCCTGCACATCTGGAGGGAGGGCTCGTCCCCGCGGCACTGCACGTCGTCCAGGAAGATGCGCCCGGAGCCGAGGCCGAAGCGCGCGCTGCCCGGGGCGGCCACGGCCTGGCCGCAGCCCAGCTGCCGGCACACCACCTGGGCATCCCTCAGGTCCCACATGTCGTCGCACACCGTCCCCCAGCTGCCTTCGCCGTTGTACAGCTCCACGCGGCCCTCGCAGCCGTTCCTCCCACCGGAGAGCCGCAGGCGGGGGCCTGGGACAGGGCACATGGCACTGGGTTAGGGCTCTCCAGCCTGGCACCCTGCCATCCCCAGGTGGGCCCCTACTGCAGGGAGCTTGCATGGTTGATGCAAGACCGGGGATGTGTCTGGTGGGCATGAATTACCTGTTGAATATGGCCAATCTCTGGTCGTCCTTTGAGCTACGGATTCAAATAAGAATTTGGTGTCAATGAGAAAGGCTCAGATCATAGTCAGGCACCTGTCATGCACCCCAGAGTCACCCATCTTCAAGGAACCCCTGTTCTATGACACTTCACAGCATACGGAGGTCTTTCATTCAATCGAAATGACCATCATTACTTCTCTGTTGCATGCAGCCATCTGCTCCCTGGGCAAGAACCACATGCCCATGGAGATCAAACTCGCATTGCAAAACATTTGATGCAGCAGCTTTGTCTTTTCCAGTCACATCCAAAGCCCAGAGCATGTCTAGGTAATAACTATGGAGGAACTGGAGGGGTGGAGGCAAAATGATCCCCTGTTGCAATTCCCCAGTTACAGTGAGAGGAAATCTCTCTCTGAACAGTTTCCTTCACTGGCAATGTTTACAGAGGTCCTGGCCTCAAGCCTAAGCCCCCCAGTTTACTGGCTCTTCTCCATGATCTGCTAGCATCCTCCGTGTGGACTTGGGTGACAGGAATGGCCTAACTGGAGTGGCCCAGGGATGGGAGACACCGCCCAGTGCCTTCAGTTCTGGGAAGGGAGATCAAGGGCACCAAGGAGACCAGTGAGAGTGGACAGAGTTACCTGGTGTGCTCCCCTCGGCTGTGGTAGCCGTTGCTGATGTGGTGGTCATCTCTGCTAGGGTGGTTTTCTCCGCTGTGGGGGCTGTTGGCGCAGTGGTGGTTGTCTCTGCCAGGGAGGATGTCTCCATTGGGAGGAACGTCTCTGCTAGGGTGGTCGTCTCTGTTGTAGTGGTCACCTCTGCTGGGGAGGATGTTTCTGCCGGGGAGGATGTCTCTGCTGGGGAGGATGTCTCTGCCGGGGAGGATGTCTCTGCCGGGGAGGATGTCTCTGCTGGGGAGGTTGTCTCTGCTGGGAAAGTTCTCTCTGTTATGGGGATCATTGGTGCTGTGGAGGTTGTCTCTGCTAGGGAGGTTGTCTCTACTGTGGGAGTCATTAATGCTGTTGTGGTCATCTCCACTAAGGAGGTCGTCTCTGCTATGAGGTTTGATGATGCTCTGATGTTTGTTGCTGCTAGAGAGGTCATTGGTTCTGTGGTGCCTGTCTCCGCTATGGAGGTTGTCTCCAGTGTTGAGATTATTGGCACTGTGAAGTTCATTGGCTCTGTAGTGGTGTTTCCTGTGGATACAGAGGAAAAACACACCCACATGAGTACCATGCTTGTGCAATGGGTACATCCATGTGTTAGCTACAAGCCCAGTTCCTCAAGGATGAAGTAAAACCAAGGCAAATTACTCTGATGGCATACTCCATCTTGACTGGGGTAAATGGAGAGAATGGAGGTGGGTAACAGCCAATTGAAAATTTTCTTGAAAGTAGTTACCAGGCGGTAACAGCAGGGAAAGGTACTGACTGATGTGGTGTCTGCTCCCAGCCATCACAGTCTATTTTGGCGCCCAACATGGGGCTGTGCTTCCACCCCTGGGGCAGTCGATTCCAGGTATACTGGACACCCCTCCACGTGAAAGCAAACTATTGGCCTGCACTCTTCTGCCAAAGGAATTGAAAAGAATGTATTGGCAATGTCGATTGTGGCGTACCAATTGGCTGCCTTTGACTCCAGTTCATATTGGAGCTCAAATATATCTGGTACAGCAGCACTCAGTGGTGGCGTCACTTCATTCAGGCCACGATAGTCTACTGTTCACCTCCACCCTCCATCAGACTAAATAGACTGTGATGGTTTGACTTTGGCTAAATGCCAGGTATCCACCAAGTTGCTCTATCACTTCCCCTTGCTTTTCCCCTTGTTTTCTCAACAAGGCAAAGAGGGGAAAGAAAATAAGATAGACCAACCCTTGTGGGTAAAACAAAAGCAAAGCGAAGCAAAGGTCCACGTGCGGAAGCAAAAGAAAACAGATTTATTCTCTACTTCCCATGGAGAGGAGATGTGGGACCTTCTCAGGATCAGGGCTCCTATACGTGGAGTGGTTGCCTCGGAGGACCAAGGGTGACTCCACCCCCTTCCTCCTTTCTCCCAGCTTTATACTGAGCAGACGTCATATGGTCTGGAATAGCCCTTGTGTCAGTTGGGGTCAGCTGTCCTGGCTGTGTCCCCTCGCAAGATCTTGCCCACCCCGTCCCACTGCAGGGGGGAAAATGTCGGAAGGAGCCTTGGTGCTGTGTAAGCACCACTCAGCAGTAGCCACCACACCAGGGTGCTACCAACACCCTGCCAGCTCCCAGTATAAACCACAGCACCATGAGGGCTGCTATAGGGGAAACCAATTCCAGCTCAGCCAGACCCCGTACATACAGAAAACTGAAATATATATAAAACACCTGAACAACCTGTTGCCGTCAGTGATATCCGAGTTCATGATGATCTGTTGTTAATACGGAAGAAAATACCTTACAAATGCACTACCTTTTCTTAAGAAATAAGGGGAAAGTAAAATCAGAAAACAGCAAAGTGACAGAGTACTAAAAATGGATGGCTATTTGTAAAAGAAAAGAATATTAACGGACCTAAACTTGAAGGAAGACTTGAAGAATACAGAAGCAGTGCAAAGTGAGTTGTCAGCTATGGCAGTTTAGGTTGTGCCTGTGAAATTAGTATTGCCCATAATGAATGCATTTGGGCTTGCGATGGGTTTCACCTAACCCTATTCCTCCCTGAGGAACATGACCTATCAGACATAGCTTTGCCTCTAATTTCAACTTATTTCCTTAATCTCTTTGTCACTGGAATAAAAATTCTACGTGTTGCAATGCGTATCTGATCCTTGGGGTTTTTGATTACTTTTCATGGAGTGAGCAAGCACAGTTTGTGTACTAACCTGTGAGAAAAACCTAAGTCCCATGCTGGCTCTGCAGGGTCATCAGAGTGAAAAGACAAGGCTTTTGGAAGATCAGACTCTGCTTCCTGAGAACAGGCCTTTTCAGAGGGAGTGTGCCCTTCCACAGATAGAAAATTCTTAATAATAAAGTAGAAAGCAAGATAGACATATGTCTGGTACAACTGGTATAGCTTTCAACCATATGACTTGAATGAATAAAATGTTATCTCAGGAGGAGAACGTCTGCATATCCCCATGCTGACACACGTATATTAAGTGCAATATATAGGGAAAATATTTAGAAAAGAAAAATGCGACAGCACCTGAACAGACAACACCAGCATCTTCGTAGTGGTTACAGTTGTGTATCCTCCATCCAGAGTGATTGCAGTGCAACAAGGAGACCTCACTTCCACTGCACTGCACGTTGTCCAGCAGGATAGCGCCTGAGCCTTGCCCAAAGTAAGCATGTCCTGGAGCTGCCATGGCCTGGCCACATCCCAGCTGCCTGCACACAACCTGGGCATCGGAAAGGTCCCAGAGATCGTCACAAACCGTCCCCGGCTGGCCTCTGTAGTAGAGCTCAACACGACCTTCACATCTGTGCCTTCCATTCACCAGCTGGAGACCGGTCGCTTTGGGAGAGAGGGAATTGAACACAAACGGTCAGATAAAGGAGCTGGAAGTGACCTTAAAAAGTCATCGGTTCTCTCCTCTTGCCCCATCGTTCCTACTAGGTGCTTGCCCAGCCCAACATTAAATGTCTGTGAGGACAGAGGTGATACCTTTTTTCTTCCTCTCTTCCAGATCTCAACATCAGCCACATACATTCTATGCAAGATTTCTACAGAAAACTTAGACATCAGGCTAAGCACAGTCCAATACAGCAAGAAGGGAAATTATTTAATAATAATAAAAAAAGCACAATAGGAAAGCAAAGGAGATACAATTAATTTCAGTCTCTGAATGAAATCTAAGTAAAACTGCATAAAGAAAATAGCACTTAATTTTTTCACTTTGTTAATAGGAAGAGAACGGTATGTTTTAAGAACACACTTCTTGTTTATGTATTTCTTTTATTAATTGCTCTCAGAACGTTTTATTAAAGAACAAGGAGATGCCGCAATTTGCATTGAATCCTACTGGAATTTAGGGTGTACAGCACACCTTCCCTGCCCTCCCCCTGTGTCTTACCAGAAGCATGTCTGTGTAGCACTCCTACGTGATGTACGAAGCCTCTGCTGACCTGGGTGCAGGGGGGCAGAGCAGAGCAGTGGCTCAAGCAGATCACTGAGGGACACAGCAAGATGCACCTTGGACAGCCAAGACCATGGCTCTTTCCTAAACTTCTGCTCACGGGGCAGCTACAGTGCTGCCATACAAAAATTACCAGGCAAATGAGTTGCAATTCGTGAGCTATTATGCTCTACTGAAGGACAACAAGCACTACTTTGCTTAAAATGATGCCAGAATTAGGCCAAACGAATCCTTCATAAAAACTATAGACTTTTAGAGAAAACAATAGCCATTCTTTATTTTTCTCTCCGGTTTATGTAATTTAATTAGAATTTCTCTTCTTGCTCTAAAATGTTGAGGAGAATTTTAAGAACCTAGAGTCCACACATCACAAACAAATCCTATAGTTTTTAAGAATAATTTTAGCTGAAGAATTCCGCTAAGTGTTCAACAGAACGGACAGTGGTCTCAACAGGATTATAAAAAAATTCAATAGGAATCCAGTGGCTTCATTTTTTTTTTATATGCCAGTAAAATGTTATTAGAGTTTTAAATAAAGAAACACCTAATAACCTATCACGTATCCATCTGACTACTGCATTCATTCTGATAAGGGCAATCTGCTTCCCTGTTTGATTGAGCTTGTTTAGACATTCTGCAGTGAGCAGTATAAAAATCCCGATTTTAGAGATTCATTTTTGATGAAGAAGTTTAGTAAAGACTTTACCACTAAGTGTAAGTGAGCAAATAAATGTTGTCATTTAAATTTGCAGTATTTTCACATCGGAAATTGGAACATGCGCAATGCATTTGTTATACTTTGCATTTCTGCCAAAAGCATGTTTAGCTTGTTGCTAAACACTGAAGAGGCATCCAAAGCAAAACATATTTGAGATGTTAACAGCTCTAGGATTTCTTCACCAAATCGAATTCTTTGTTGTTGGACTAGAAGAACAGTCAAACAAAAAACAGTGTCAAACCAAATTTGTCTCTATTTGTATGCATTTAACTGGCAGTTCAAAGGGAGAAGCTATGAAAGTGCCCCTTGGCTTATATCTAATTTGTTTCTTCAAATATCGACTTGGACATGCACATTTTTGAACCACACTTACAGGATTTTTGAGAAGTGAAACAGCAAACCTGGCAAAAAGTCAGAATGGGATTAGGAAATTAAAGCTGAGCTAAAACAGTTTTATTTGCTTTCATTCAGGGTCTGTCATCACTGTGAGAGCATAACCATCAGCTGGGCATGTAATTAGAGAGGTTGCGTCCTGCCTCACACTTTAAAGGTGTCAGAAAGACAAAAGCCTGTGATTAGACAAATACAGCACTTACTCTGACCCAGGAAACAGAGAGAAAAACTAGAGTGCCAGGGTGAGATGGTTTATCACCAGACAAGCAGAAGACAGATGAAGAAAAATGGATGAGGTGGCAGATGACAATATAAATTATCATAATGATGCTTAAACATCTAGTCAGAAAAATCATTTTAGGATACACATAGGACTATACACAGTCACCTAAGTCTATACATAGGACTATATGTAGTCACCTAAATAATTTAGGAGATAGAAACCAATCATACAAAAGAAAAAGCCAATGACCAAAAAAATAGTTGAACTAAAAGTGTTTCATGTCTTTCATTATTTTTAGAAGTCCCTCATTTATCCAGTGCTAAATTATGAAAACTAACTTCTTGTTATATTTTGTTAAATTGTACATAAGATTAAGAAGAATCAAATAATACAAGCAACATTGAACATATACCATATGTATGCATGCATATACCCTGGAATAAATATACATTAAAAAAAAAAAAACACGTTGTCCTGTAATTCTTAGAGCAGATTTCTGAAACTGGAAGAATTACTCATTCATAACGTACTCACAGACACAGTTCTCACAATGATACAAGGCACTAAGACAAGTACGACCGTGTGGCAGCAAAATGAGCTCCACTAAATGGTTTAAATCATTCTTATTATTCCCTATGATGATTGGTTCATAATTTTAGAACGAAACTGTCTTATCTCTTTCTTCCAATTTGCCCTTTAATCTTTCACCCAAACCGATATCAACATGACTGTGATTTTTATTTACAGAATCAACAGAGAGGACCCCAAGTAGTCTTTTTATATATATATATATATATATATATATATATATATATATATGCACTCTGGAACAAGTCAAAGTGCTTTACCTGATTTCACCTCCAGAATTGCTGGACCGAGCAAGAGTAGCCATGTCAAAATCTTTGTGGTACCCATGTCATCAAGTGGTGTTGACAGAAAGTACCGTCAGAATATATATAGTCTATTTCTGAAGGGGAGTGGCTGTATAGGTTTCTCTTTCTACAGGAGAACAATAAACCAACAAAAGTCCTATGATCCGAAACAAAAATATGTTTCATTTGTTCTTTAAGATTTTGTAACTTCCTGGCTTTTGCAGAAAGATAATATCTCAAGAGTAACATTTTCCACTGCCTTAAAGGAAATATTTATGCTACCATAGGTTTCACAATCATCTCATCTTCAAAGAAAATGAGCTCCTATCCAAAGATACCTTTCAATTCTGGTTGATTAATCTCAGTATTTTGCTTTTATGGGGAGATTCTTTGGCAGGTCTGGGGGAGCTAGTGGAATCTTGAAACTTAAATACACTTCCTCCAGCAAAGTAATAAAAAAATTCATAACTTGGTGCCAACTAGTGTGGCAAGTCTCCCTGGGGAGTCATATTCATTCTTAAAACTTTAAATGAAATAAGATAAGACCTGGTGGTCATGTTCATGACTAGGGAGTCTCCGAAGAACCTTGCTGTTGAAATCAAAACCTCCAGCTCTGTTCCTTTTTGGCACTTTTAAGTTCAGGTCAAAACTCTATTCACCGAGAGACTGTTAGACTGGAAGAAAGTGTCAAGAGAATGAGGGTCAGCTGGTAATATTTTGTGAAAACTGTGCAGAAAGATCAGTGGATTTTATGCATAGTTTAGTAAATTACACAGGCTGCGGCTTCACATTATTCTAAAATTTTCTTTGATCCTTTGAACCATTCAAAGGGGGAAATAAAGATTCAGATTTCGATTAAGAATTTTTCTTAATATATTCCTTGTTTAATTTTGCATAGTGACAATTACAGCTGCGCTATTCTTTAAAGAATGAACCCAGATCTTTTCCACGACATGAAATACTGCTTAATTATCATTCATCACTCTCTTGCCAGATTGGTTGCTTTTCTCTGTTTCTGTGTTCTAGCCATTTAATGAGAAAAAGTTGATGACCATCATAACAATGAAGAGCCAAAATATTGTTCTTGATTCCTACCTCTACAGCCATCAAGTCTTGGATGGCATTATCAGGAGTCAAAATTCATGGCACAATTGTTGCCATATATGTATTTACTGCCTCCAGGGACAGACATCAAGGATGAAGACTCAAGTCCAGAAGCCCAAGTGAAAAAAAAAGAATTACTAAGAAGGTCTTTCCACAAAGGTCAGAATTACTGGAATGGAAGAAGGAAGTACAAAACACAAGAGGCCAAAGAAAATGTTGGAAGCCTTGAAAGTGGACGTTGAGAAGGGTAAATATGTTTCATCTTTATTCAAACATCCAGATTCGCACATGAATGAGGAAATGTACGCAACACTTGGTATTCACTATTCATATTCTTCTGGTTTTGACATCTGGCAAGAAGCAGAAAAAATTCTGTATATTTGACTGACCAATCAAACACTGTAATCAGTGAAGCAAGAGTAAGTGATGGATAGCAATTCTTCTCCAAACTCTTGTAATAACTGGAAAGGGTGGGGAGGAAAGGGAACACGAAAGTGATTCCTAGGTGGTTCAAGTGAAAAAGACATGTCAAACTGCCCAGGGAAATGAACAAGACTTATTAATTAATCATTGACTACATTCTTCACTAATTAATTCTTTACTACAAAATATAAAGATCTATATATTTCTAGATATCTTGATCATCAGATAATCTCTGCACAGTAGGAATAGATAAATCCTAGAATCACAGAATGGTTTGGGTTGGAAGTGACCTTCAAGATCATCCAGTCCCACCCCCTGCCCCAGGCAGGGCCACCTTCCACCAGCCCCGGTTGCCCAAAGCCCCGTCCAACCTGGCCTTGGACCCTGCCAGGGAGGGGGCAGCCACAGCTTCTCTGGGCAACCTGTGCCAGGGCCTCACCCCCCTCACAAGGAGGAATTTCTTCCTCATACTTAATCTGAATCTCCCCTCTTTCAGTTTATACCCGTGACCCCTTGTCCTATCCCCACACCCCTGATCCAGAGTCCCTCCCCGCTTTCCCGCAGCCCCTTTCAGCCCTGGGAGGCCGCTCTAAGGTCTCCCCGCAGCCTTCTCTTCTCCAGCTGAACCCCCCAACTCTCTCAGGC